GGACAGTCCAAAACAGATGACTCAGCTTCTCCTGCTGCTCACATTATTGATTTGTGCTGCAGATCCTGCCTGAAAGCATCAAACTGAATAACTGTTAACTACAGGAATGGAACTGTTGCTGTATTAAGACTGTGTTTAGATGCAACAGCTAACAAAAGTCAAATTTTACTTAACATTTTCAAAGCATGTGATCCTAAATCTGCACCAGTATTCAGAATTAATATTGAATGATCGTGTAAAATATTAAATACAGCACATTTGTCTTGTTAAAGCTGTCGGGGCTGTATTTCACTATACATCAGAAGATGTATCATTTCAGTAGTTTGCAAAAGTTGACATTTATGAGTTGCTCTTATTTTGAAAGAGCTTCAGGTGCTACTTTGACTTTAACACAACGATTGTGGAATACCACTAATACTTTTCAGTGTGCTACCAGCTTTATTGCAACAGTTTCAACAGATTTATCACTCAAAACCATTGGGACTAAATAGAAAAATAATTGCTAAGTGTGACCATTACACATTCCCTTTAACTAAAATAGATTACACCCTGTCACTGACCTAAATAAATGCATCACTAATTCAAGAATCACACAAATACCTTGTGATACATTCTCAGTTAGTATTTGAAGATATTCTGGAAGAAGTGCAGACATGTACATTTTCTTATTCCAAGTTTTAAATTCATAGATTTGAATCTGCATTATTATAGCAAATTTCAGATCAAAGATATTTTTCAAACAATATTTTCAATATACCACAGAAATGAGGTGCATTTGCAAATGTTTCCTCAGCAGAAAATTTTAAGTCTCTGAGGAAAAAAACTGTTTAGTGAATTAGGAGATACTGTATCCAAACCCAGAAATTGCGAGATGAGGATATTTAGCCTTTTTATGCAAACCTTTTAATGCCAAAGGCTGTCAAAAAAGCTTTCTAATGAAAAGAAGTATTAAAAGGAGTTTGAAACAGCCCAAACCAAAGCATAGCATGTCAGCTGCTTGAGCAAATAAGAACTTTTTCTTACCCCAAGGCCTTTTGTATGAATAATAACTGTAACAGCAACTCTGTGTGTGTTGCATGTAGAATAGAATATTTCATTCATGTTTGCTGAAGTTCACTTATGTTTTTATAGTTATGAAAAGAAGGGAGCATATGTTTGTTGTTCTGTTCATTTCACAGTTGATGAGCTTCCTGAGCTCCTCTGTCAGCATGATGTTCTGTGGTCACCTGGGGAAAACAAAGCTAGCAGTGGTGGCATTAGCAGCAGCGATGAGAGCTCGCGCTACAGTTTTGTTTGTTTTTACTGGCATTCTCTTCATAGAAATTTGTCTGTCAGATTTATCCGCATTCTCATATTTCAGGAAATTCATCCAGATTTATTTTGCTGTCTGATTTGCCCTTTTTGTTTCACATGAGCAAGTATTATTTTAGTTTCCTGTTGTTTCTGACCCTTTCTTGCAGACATATGGGAGTGGTAACCTAAAGTATGAAGGAGGGATGTCCTCATTAACACTCAACCCATTTTGCTGGCTGTCAGGTCAGAGCACAGAGGTCGCCACATAGATTTTTTCCACTTTCAAATCACTGACCTCAACATTTACGTTTGCACTCTAGGAGTATGTGTAGCTCAATGTGATTTTTTTTTATTTTACATTATATCCAATGTTCCTCTTTTCTGTGTGCCAGACTCTCCTAGCTGTATGTGAAGACCTTAATGGTGGCTTTGCCAGTGAGTGCAGCTTCCTCTGCAGTTTTACAAAGTGTTTTCTGTGTCTGCATCCCTATAGACTATTGAATGGTTATTGTATTGCATTACTGATCTAATTAACTTCTTTCAGAGGCTGTTGTTGGCATTTGCAGACTGCCTTATTGTACCAGCTGCAAAGGGAGGTATCTTCACAATCAGGAACCCTTTAATGACTGTAAGACCATAGTGTGAAAGCCAATAATGACTAAAAGCTTGGCAGGAACAAGATTGTTTTGTGCATGTGTTGGAAAGGAACATGTACTGTGAGAAAGAAACAAACAACAGGTGCAATGATGCCCTGAAGTGATTTGTTTTTTAACCATTTTGCCATTAAACTTCTTTGTGAGTGTGTTAGCATGTGGGTGTATTAGCATTTAGCTCAGAGCAGCTCTGTACCTAAAAGCTCAGGCCACTAACATGGACACTAATGGGTGAGAAACAGGTCTACATACACACCAGTCTTTCCTCTTGTGAGTGTTTTGAGTCCATCAGAGGAGAAGCTGGAAGCACTCGGTGCAGGTCAACAGTCTCACATGACATGACTCTGTAATTCAGGCAGCTGGTGTGACGTGGCCTCATTGTGCTGCTGATGTTCATCATTGTCACTGCTGGAGCCTTCATCAGCAGGCTGCTCATCAGACTACTTGAATTAGACAAGTGACCATTATTAGACCATGTGTGCAGCACAAAACAAAGTGTCTGTCTTTGAGAGGACAGATGTATTTTTGTGTACAAAATATATATATATATACAAAGTAGGAACATGTGCAATAACGCAAGTTACTGATCAATCAACAGCAAAATTATACCACAGTGGGCTTTTGAAGTTTGGGTATTAGAATATTAACTTGTAACAGGGGTTTTCAACCAGTGCTCTGTGGCCCCCAGGTGGTCCACAAAACCACTGCAGGTGATCCCTGATCATGCACTCAGTAATATAGTTTCAAGGTAGGAATCATTGTTTTTATTTTTCTAACATATCTCCATGTATTACTGCTGCATTACTATATATTAATACTATTGTATTATATAGAATTTAGAAAAGCCCAGGTGATTTCCAGGATTAAAATAGTGCCCCTCTGGTCTATCCACGCCATCCCAAGGATGCAGCTGCCATTTTACCACCTGAAGCATTTTGTAATGAAAATCTTTATTCCATACTCGAACTTTTACAAACTTTCAAACTATATATTATACACTAGTGATGAGAATGTGATTAGAATGAAACATGTTACACAATGTTCTGCAATTACGTGAAATAAGTGGAATTATTGTTTTGTTTTAAAATGGTTGGAAAGTTGATGAGATTAATTTGTTCAAATTCATTTTGGTTATTACAGTACAATACCTCTTTATACAGAGGGAATTTTTGTCAGAGTTGCATGTACAGTATCTTCTAATGATAGTTTTAGTATTTTGTGACAAATATATTGCTGCAATCTACAGTATTTAATAGTTCAAAGCCACTCACCTTTGCAGTTTTTAAATTAGCCATGTTTTGTGAAATCTAATGAGAACTGGAACTTAAATGAGGCAACCAATGAAAGGCTGAAGTTAATTAGCACACTGCAGACATGTCTAATTTATAAATAAACATGCTATGTAAGAAATGCCCCAATCATGAAGCTCAAGAAATGTATCATGTAATATATAGGCTGAATAGATACCATAATTAGAAATAGGATGAATAAATGCTAAATCTAGGTTACAGGGCATTTGTGGATGTGTGCTTTCATCATCAAAGATGGAAAAGCAGCTATTTTTCTTTGGTTTGCTTTTCTGTCCTTTGATCTGAGTTGCCAAATTTGATGATAATGGAAGGTCTCTATGCTCACACTGCAATGTGCTGGCTGGATGGAAAGTGAACAAATCAACCACCTTGTTCACTCTGTGCAGGAGCAGATAACTAGCTAGCTCAGGCTTCACAGCCTGCTCATCAATAAAGAATTCACCCTTAACAGCAAACAATTAATGACGTATCTGAAATGCTTACATGCCTGGTGTTTCTCTACATGGCTGGAGATTTTTAAGAAATATGTTTATTCACTTTCTGGCAGAGAGTTAGATTGGAAAATCAATAACCTTCTCTTATTTGTTAGCTTATCTTAGCACAAAGAAATGGAAGAGAACTGCCTGTCTCTATCCAGAGCAATAAGATTGACCTAAGGCTCACTAAATAACATGTTATATCTCATTTCTATAATCGGTACTGGTAGATGGATGTCTTTGATGTTTGACAGCAGACAGACTTGCTGCTTTCATCTGTTAAGGATCCTATCAGCTGCTTCTCTACAAGAAGATGACTAAGTATATTTTCCAAAATGTGGAGCTATTCCTTTAAGGCAGTTCCACTTTTTTCTGCTTCTATAAAAATAATGTTGTTACTTGCATACAGTAAGTATATATCAACAGCCCACAGTCAGGCTCTACTGAATGATTTTTTTTTATTCAGGTACAGACTAACCACTGCTTTGTGTTGTTTTTTTTGTTTTTTTTTCATTTATTTAAATACATGCTAACTTTCACCTAAACCACCTGTACAAACCTAGTGCCCCCACAACAGTGCACTTTCCGAACTGACACCAGCAGCGGCTTGTGACAGAATGATGCTTGCTCCAGTCATATAAAAACTTGCATATTAATTTGTCATTATTCAACATGTAAATCAGGCTTGATTCACACATGGTTACATCGTTGTCTGAGCTTCACTTTTGCTCATCAGCAGAGACATTGCCACAGGCTCCTCACAGAGACTGTAATCTTGGCCCCCTCACCTCCAGAGACTGCAATCAGTAACATGCTGTGGCATCATTAACAAGTGACTGTATAAAGACTTGCCATCAGTATTGTTAAACTAGAACTTCTGATACTGTATCTTACAAATCTCATAATAACTTCTTGGTTGTGTCACCATGCAGTATAGTAACGTAGCCGAATCCAACATCCATAAATACATTTTTGTGTCATACAGTGCTTCCACCAAATGGCACACTGTGTAAATTGTAAATATAAACTAAATTAAATGTTTTGAAAATCCCCTTTACCTCATATTCATTTGGTAATAGTACAAAAACAAGGTATATCCAGTGATGGTGCAACACAGTGGTAAACCTGCCCCTGTGCCGACTTTTAGAAACATCAAATTTCAGTTCCAGTTTTAACATTTGATATGCTGTCTTTTTAATTAAATATAGGTTTTAATTGATTTGATGGGGGGGGGGGGGGTGTGTTCCGCGCTTATTCCCTTTTTCAACCTCTATGCCAACTTTGTGTACCCTGTGTACTACTATACACCACTACTATTAGTATGGATACTACCATATGCATTATGTAACAGAAATCAGTGATTGCTTCTTCTCAGATGGAAAAAGTCGCCTTCAGTGCTGATTGCCTTTGAACTGATCGCTGAGGTATCGAGTTTGACATCATTTGTTGAGGTCTAGTTGGGATGTTGCTATTTAACAACAAGAGCTCTACCAAAAGGCTGAAGCTGTGTATGTGGCTAAATTATGTTATCACGAATCAGTAGTTTGTAAGAATTTTCACACCAGAAGGATTTGCCTAATGCTGTGGCATCAACAACAGAACCTCAATAATTGGTGGTTTAATTTTTTAATCCTTGGAAACTTGTGGGTTAGTTCTATTGTCATACACTAGTTTTATTGGTTAGGGTTCTGTCACAGTGCATTATATGCTCACAGCTCTAGATGTACAGTAAAAAAAAACAAACAGTTGTTATATATTAATCACCTCTTTCCTTGAGATATCAGGAAGAAGACAATGCAGTAATCTACATACTGCTCATATAGTTATACTGTGTATTACATATTTACATGTAGGCCTATATGTGTACATTTTATATCAGATATCTTCACTCAGCTCAAAGTTGAAACATGGGAATGATTTAAGTTCAGTCAGCAAAACAAGATTTGGTTAAAATCATTAGCTATCAGTGGAAAAACATCTGTTCCTTGATGCCCACATGGTCTCTTACAGAGGGATTTGTAATGTCTTGTCCCATTTCAGCATCTCAGGCTGAGCAGGTTAAAACATGATCTTTGTAAGAAGACTTTTATTCTTCCTGTCAGCCTCAGTCTCTTTTGATATTGCTGCCAGCTTTCTGTGGATTTGCTCAGCACACAAAAACCAGCCAACAGCCCATGTCAGGTTTTAGTTTTTGGCAAATAAAACCACAGGTCTATGAGAAGATTTGCAACTACAGTATGAAGGAATTTAACACCTTTCTCCCTGTAAACAAATTGTCCAAGGAACTCTGCTCATTCAGTAGGTGCCTACATTCCGTGGTCAAAGATAGTTCACAGGTCTGGGGTCAGGTCCAGTGGTGCCAGTGGTGCGGGAGTAGAGTTATTGGCCCAGTTCAGGGTAAAGTTGGCCCTACTTTGAGCAGAGGGCTCTGGTGGAGGGAAGACAAGGTAGAAGGAGACACCTATGGCCAAAGTAAGAACACAAGCCAAGAAAGTGAGTCCCCGGCGCAGGATCAGCTGAGAGACAGAAAGCAGCACTTGAGGTTTGGTGTTCAGAGTATTTTTTCCCTGCTCAGCATCCCCCTCAGTCCCTCCTGAAATTGGGTTGTTGCCTTCGGCCACATTTAGCTCCTCATCCTGGGTGTTGACTGCACTGTAGACATCTGCTTTAGGGGCTTTTTCTTCACAGTCCAACTGGGCCTTCAGTGGGCAGAGATGGTGGTGTTACTCAATGTGTGATAAATCTGACATGATCAAAGATGTGCTGTTAAGCAACAGCTCTTCTGCTTCAAAGAGGTGAGAACTCCTTGCTTAACTTCACAGCATATATTGTACATATCCACTTACTGTAGGGCAGTAAGAGATGTCAGGCACTACTACACCAGCAGAATGATTTGATATCATCACTACTTTCTTTCCAGCTCGCACCTGAGCCTGGAAACAGAGAGAGAGAGAGAGAGAGAGAGAGAGATCCATGAGACACATAAAAGTAGAATGTTGAAAAAATCTGAATAAGATTTCAGTTGCTTACAAATGTATTTACAATCACTAAACAAATATATCCTTCAACTTTTCTGTGCTAAAGAATTCTGTTAAAATGTATTGACCACAAGTCAAGTAAATTAAAGAATATCAGAAATTTGTCCTCAAGGTGCTTTACAACCTGTACTAAGGGTGTGACGAGATCTCATGCCATGAGATCTTGCAGTATTATAATGTGATGATATTTTTCATCTTGGCAAAAGCTGTCTCAGGATATCAGTACATAACAGAACCAGCCCTGTATGACATAGCGTGACAATATGTTCACATTATTCCGACAAAAATGTAACTCCCTACTGTGTTTACACACAGAGCTGTGTGGGTCCAGGGGTGAGGGGAGTGCTGTAGGCTGGTACGATACGGCCATGTTGTAATGAATTGGTGTGAGCAGCTTCATCCATGTTTCCAGCCCATGAGTTTCTGTTATGTTTTGGTTAGCCATGCTGCTAACGTAGCCTACTCTACATTAACACCTATTCTACCACCAATGTATCTGCATTGATAGATAAAACAAAAACACCATTCAATATCCAGTACTAATGAAAATGCATGGCCTGTCATTATGGTGCCTTAATTGTAGGGGTGTAAGAAAATATTGATACACTTGAGTATCGTGATATTACATTTTGCTATACTGTATCGATTCTCAAAAACACAGTATCGATTTTTTATGGAATATTTCTTTCTTTTATTTTTAATACATTTACAAAACATTCCAAAAGCCTGTTTTAGATTTGTTTTTGTTTGTTTGTTTTGCAATTTCCCTGATAGTAAGTTTAATTTCAATAATCCCAGTTATGATCCCACCCTCAGTAATTTTTAGAAAGACTGAAATACAGTGCCATGTATATAAGTTAAAAGCATCCTACCTTATATGTGATTTTTTTCCAGTTGAGTTTGAAGATCAGAAGGAGGAAGAAACCTATCTCAAATAGAGAACATATTAACAGACCCAGCCACCAGCCTAACAGGAGAGACACAGATACAAACGTACACATGTCAAAAGGTATATTCACTTTACACACTAGTACGAACACCAGCTAAAATATATATACATACTGTATATACACCTAATGCTAACATGTTGATATTTAGCAGGTAATGTTGTGGTCATTTTGTTTTAATCAGCATTTAACACTAAGTGTTAATGTCACTGGTTTCATTATTGTTTGTTCATAAATCAGTGCTGGAAAAATTCATATTTTCACCTGGTGATGGTGTTTGATGAAAAGTAAGCAGTTCAGCAAAATGGTAACAGTACATTCTGAGGAGAACATGAATGTGTGTGCCAGGTTTTGTGGTCCATCAACTAACACAGCCATCTGTAGAGACATGTCACTTGCTTGGCTAAAAAGAGCCAAAGGGTTGCTATAGAGGCATTGCTCACTGCACTGAACATAACTGTAAGTTAAATTAGTGCCATCTATATTTTATTTGGAAATCTTTATTAGTCCTTACAATTGCAAACTGAATTAAATCAATCCACCCAAAAAAGAGTGACACAAAATTTATTTTTGAGCTAAGCTCAAAGCTGTCATCATTTTCATCTGTAGGACTGGTATTATGCCTTTTTATTAAGTTTTGATATTTTTTCAGCCACTTAGATTGAGAATATGTGGTCAGTTTATCTAGGTGATGCCAATTTGGAAATTTGTTCTGAAGTGCTCGTTATCGGACCAAGCTAGCTGTACTAGCAGGCAGCTACATCTTGTTCAAAGCCCAGTAGTCTGTCAGCAAGGATGCCGCTGTTTTAGCTGCACGTTATATGTTGTGAATATTTTTAGACATAAAATTGGGATCCTGACCTAAAAAAGGTTGGTGTAAGATCGCAGGTTCACTGTATTTATTTCATTTTAATAGAATGGGATGAAAAGTATTACCTAATATTCCAAGCTCTGCAACAAACATCAGGGCAATTCCCACTGGCAGACCAATACAGTAGTAGCCCACCAGACTAGCCAAAGCAGCAATTTTCTGCATCCCAGATCCCACAAGAATCCCTAAGCAGGCACACTGGAAACCCACACAGAAAAACAAGCTTTAATTCAACAAAACAAGCAAAGTGCTCTGTGTACTGTTCAACACAAGAGCTCAGTGTAAAACCAGAAAGAACATTTGTTTTGTTCTGTAATAACATACCAGAATAGCATCAAAGAATTGTAGGAAAGTGTAGACAGTGAGGCTGCCTGACACCATCTCCACAATATTTCTGCAGACAGCAGGAGAAGATCATCAGAAACAGGCACTTTTACATGGTGGAGCAATGAATGTGTGTTGGTGTGAAACTCACTCATCAGTGGTAAATATGTAGCCAATAACAGACTTAGAGCTAGCGATGACAATACCCTGGAGCACAGCAAGAACTCCTAAAGTAAAAACATTAAGTAAGAGGTACAACCTGATAAACTGTGTGGAATTTTCAGCGGTGTGACCTGAACATAAGATAAACTGGTGTTCAATTATACTGTACTGTTGGCAACTAATGCACCTGCCAGCAGAGAAATAAGAATTCCCAAAGGCTAGTACATACTGTATATAACCTATGTGTATTCATACCTGATAGAACCAGCGCTACTTTGCAGGTGATTAAGGCCCTGGTAGTGTCGGCAGCTCCCAAAGCATTCCCAACACGCACACAGGTAGCTGCATAGATACCTAGAGGGAACTGCAAGGACCCCATATTCATTTTTGGTGTCTGTTACAGTCAGTTACACTACTGAATCAAAGGAATAGGGAAATACACTTATTCACCTTCTTTTTCAGATTTACATAAGCTAGTCATTATCACTGTCATGGAAGTAGGGATACACCGCTGTCTACCAGCACCTCTAAAACTCACAAATTTG